ATTCTCTTCAATTTTTGCTAAACTTTAAAAAAATGCTAAATAAGTGGTTCCAACTTTTCAAAACTCTAAATCTTTGACCTTTTTAACTATCCTACAATTAGTCTTCACTTTGAGGTTACTAAATTATTTCTTTCTAACTGCAGTAGTAGCAGTTATTCTTAAAGGCCTACCTTCTTCTTTATTTCAAGTTATTTTAAGGGTATCACAAGGTTCTGTTTTTACTCTTGTATTACTTTTATCTACAATAACAATCTTCATGAAATTGAAAGTGGCTCTATTTGCAGACGACTCAACTAAATTTCTACTCTTGCCTTGACAAAAAAATCTCCACTTTTTAATTGCTTAGAACAAGCAGCCGATATAAAACCTAATCTCTCTTCTGTAAAAATTTAAGGCTTGCAGTGGCTTATGGAATTAAACTCTGGACTAAAAATCAAACTTTTGTTAGACAACAAAACTCATTTATTTGCTGCAAAAAAATATTGCAATATTGTTGGCATTTCTATATCAATGAATAACAACCCTCTTACACTCAGAAAAGTCTAAAAGCACATTGTAAATAAAAAAAAATAATGCGCATAGTTCAACATTCGCTGATTTTAAAACTTATAAAGTTTAACGAACATGTTAGTCATGGAATATACTTTTATGGCTGATTCTTTCTTAAGGCATTAATTTTAGTTATATTCTGCTAACAAAATGCCAACTACTTATTTTAATAATGCAAAGTAAGAAATTGAAACAAAAGTGTTAAGGTTTAGATACGCAAAATTATTAAATTTAACTAACAAATTAATTACATGCAATAAAAAATTGTGTCAATTAACAGAATGAAAAGAGTAAGAAGCAAAAATGTACAGCCATCAAAGGCAGCACTTCACAGCAATCCATATTTAAGTGTTTGGTACCGCAGCAAGTTAATTTGCAAATAGCAAAAGACAAGTTTAAACCAGCTGGTTTTGGTTGAAGGTTATTCATTCCAGATTCAAATTTTTTTTGTTATTATTCATTATTTAAATTTAAAAATAGTCAAAGCTGCATAACACTTTGAAAATTAAAAAAAAAAACTTTTTTGCCTTTTTTTAATAAAAATTTATACTTAAAATAATTTCTATAGACATTTGATTTGAGCTTTGTGGAAAAGTTGCTTCTCATTTTGGATTTTAAAACGAATAGAGAAAATATGAAAATTTAAATAAGCGAACTTGCTAAAAAGCATCACGAACAAATCAAAAATAAAATATTGAAAATGTTAATTTATTTAAAAGTCAATTCTACAAAAGGCATATGCGCCACTACCTAGGTATAAATGTGCAATACTCAAACAATGATGAAATTGTTGTGATAAATCTTGGCACCATTGATACAAAGGGAAAACAAACGGCAGAACACACTAAAAAATTATTGAAAAGTGTTTGGATAAATTTGGAATCAATAAAACTAATATTTTAGGCCTCAGTGTCAACAGCAGTGAGTAACATACATTTTAAAATTCATCCATATTTTATGTTAATGAAAATTGTTAATTACATAATTAAATTAAATGTGGTATCGGGGCCAATGAGGAGATCAAAAATGACAAAGTCGATTTTCCAGTAGAAACAGATGAGCTAGCCGTAAATGATGCAGTGAAGAGGCCAACAATAAAATTCTCATTGTGAATTGCTTTCTTCAGAGACCAAGCTCTATATCTAGTGCCAATTTTAGATCAGGCTACCCTTTGGTCTAACCAGTTTAATATGATTGAGAGACTAACCAAGGTAAGTTAAAACTTATAAGTTTTACTTAAAGTTTATAAAACTAAAACATTTTTTATCCTTATTTTTTTTCCAACCGGTATAATATAAATCCAATTATTTCAATGTTAATTACACTTTCATTGCTTTGTTGTTTTTAAATTTTCGTTTATGTAAGTATTTCCGTGACAATCCCTTTTATTTAATTGGTTAAAACATGCAACATTTGAACACGCAAAATAAAGCTCCTAAAGAATTTAATGAGTAACCATATTTTTGGGGGATCTGGGAAGAGTTTAGAGATAACTTGCATATGGCAAATGATTTTTGTTTTATTATTTGTCTTCAGCATGAAAATATCAATGCAGGCAAATTTATTTTCGATTGGAATTCAATAGAATATGAACTAGACCGGAAAGACAGTGAATTAGCTGAAGATTTCCAAAAAGGAATGATTATTAGAGAAAGTGTGCTACACAAAAATTGCTGTTTCTTGCAGCAGTGTACATGGATATTAGGCATTGCTGTATGCTGACTGAAGACAAAGTTTGTTTTTTTAATAAAATTTTATTTATGTTTTTTTTATTTATTAAACTTTATGAAATTCATAATTAAAAAAATATAAATGCTTTTATAGATAGCTGCAGCTGAGGGTCTGAGAAAATTAATTACTAATTGATTCAACTGGCTAATATAAATAAGAATAATAAACTCAACTAAACCAAAAACTAATATCGTGCAACTCTTTTGCAGTTCATGTAGCAGATTCATGATGCAGAAAATGAGGAGAATGCTTCACCAGTCGCAAAGCGACGACCAAAATTTGTTTATGCTATGTGAACAGGAAATAAAAGAAAATTCTTTAGAAGAACAAATGCAGATTCAACTAGATATAATTGAAACAGAGTTCAGAGCTAAAAACAATTCCAGAAACCTAGAGTTTTTAAAACTTAAAAACTCGTCTAAGTTTTTATTATTTTTTTGTGGAATGCAACTCTGCATCTCTGCGATTCCCAATACCGATTCTCAGAAATCCAACCTTAAAGTTAAAACATTTTTTTTGCATAACGTAAGTTAAACTAAATTTTCTGTTCAACATGCTTTTGTCAGACTCAAAACTTTGAAGATTTTTCTTCAGATTAACAACTTTTATGCATATTTACTAAAAAGTGAATAAACAAGTGAATAAAATAATATTTGATAAAGTTGTTGCACATGTAGTTGTGGAATACACCATATATATAAAAGTATTTTAAGGAGAGGTATGCAGCTTCATGTCTTATCTAGCCATGCATGTAATATTTTGTTTTGATAACTCAGTCACCGCTCTTTGCATGTTTTTATAATTTGCATGTTTTAAAAATGCAATTTCTTTTACATATAGAACACATCAAGTGGGTGGCAGCCTATATTTTTCAATAATGCTGTTTTTCGGGACACCCTAATATATATATATATATATATATATATATATATATATATATATATATATATATATATATATATATATATATATATATATATAAATGCAGCATTAGATGCATACTGATGACATCATTATTAAATAGGTAGTAGCAGGGGCTTTAGTACATACATCGACTATCTTTTAGCCTGTTATCCATAGGAGTGATGCTATATCAATTGAGAGTTTAACCTGGAGCAGCAACCTTTTCCTTCATTATTCTTTGTTTTTATCTTCTTATTCTAAAAATCAAAGCACACATTTTTAGAACAAAAGCTCAAAAATGATATTAGGAAATTGCGTCCTTAGGTATGAATTGTTTTGATATATAAATGTACCAGGGCGCGAAAAATGATTGCTTTTAATGAATGTTCCCATTTGTATCTTTATTAATTGGTGAACGTGAAATTTAAGAGATATATCGTCAGCTGTGAACCAAGAGGCCGTATGTTCACATTTTATGTTTTTTCTGTTTATTATCAAATATTCAACAATCAAGGGAGTATGTGTGTAATAAATCTAGTCTCAAGAATAATTAGAAAAATTAGTCAGACATTCTGACAGTATTTTCAAAATAAATTTTAAAACTTGATTTCTTGGAAACATAAAAAATGGACATACGTTTTCTTGGTTCTCAGCTGATGATAGAATAAAACTCTTATTATCTCCATATTTGAGAATATCAAATAAGGGTGTTTTTTTTCTGTTAATAAGCTATTAAATATATCAAAGATGCTTACTGAATTTAATCAATTTTTTTTTTTGTCAAAACAATTTTTCACACATTTGCAAAGTGCGCCCAAATTAATGATAATTAATGTTAAACGATCTAATGATTGTAAACTGTTATCCACTGATACAAAATAATAAATTTTACTCAATTTAGTTTGTTAAATTTATATACTAATAAAAAAACTTATAAACTTAAAAAAATTAAAATAAAAAGTGTTAAAAAGCTGTTTTTAAATTTCTTTTTAAAAATTTTTAAAAATAATAACATAAAAAAAAAAATAATTTCATATTAAGTATTTAATAATAAGCAACCCTTAGAAAAAATTAGAAAAAATGAGGTAGGCAATAATTTGCCGACCTCAATATTTTAGAGGTTGGCAAAAAAAATTGATATAAAGGTCTTACTATAAGACATAAAAATGAGGTCTGGAAATTTTTGCCGACTTTTAACACTTAACTGCCAACCTCAAAGGTCGGAAGTTAGGTTAGTATTGCTGAACGCCAACCCTAATTACGAGGGATAAATAAGTAAATAAAAATATCATATTTTTGGTGTTGTTGTTACACCATAAAAAAATGAAAACTATAATAAATCTATATATTTTATTAGATTATATGTATTTAAGCAAAACTTTTAAAAGTGCTTTTAATATGCAAACTAACATTACTTCACTTTAAGGAAAATAAAAATATTAAAAAAAAGCAAGCAATCATAATGTTTAAGCACAGTTTCTTTTAAAGTAATTGCAAATGCATTCAGTTTAAGTATATATGCTTTTTCAACGCATGCAAAAACCATGTTAAAACACAATTACTTACTTCAATAGTGTACTTAGTCATTTTACTTTAAAGTAATGCTATTGAAGAAAGTAACCATGTTTTAGCATGGTATCTTTTAAAATCTTTAAAATGCGTTTTAAACTTTATCAACTAATTGTTTTTTTATTATAAATATTTTCTTTATAATAAATAAAAAACTATCAATCGCATAATTATTTGGAAATATAATTGCTGAAGTAATGCGTTCGTTTTTAAAAACATATATAAATGAAAAATATTATTTTGTTTACCATCTTAAAACCTTTTTAGACTTAATTCCATGTAATGATTTCATATAGTGTCGTACCATATCTATATTGTGTGGAGTTTGTGCCAATGTTGTCATCGCTCCCTAAAAAGATTTAAAAAACAGAAAAATAAAAATTAACGATGGCTGTAATAATTAATGATAATGATAGCAATCATAACAGTGATGATTATCAACATTATTATCATTTTGACTAATTCATAAACAAAGATGACTGATTTGTCGCAAACTGTTATTTAAATTGTGAACATTTGTAATTTTTTGCAATTTTAATATGTATATTTGAAATTGTCAAAATTCTCTTTTAATGTAGCTTACCTATGATTAATAAACGTTTTTGCAACAATCTATTACGATTAACTGCTTTTCAGAAAAAAATGTTGCCTGTTGTAATAAATTTCAGAAAAACTGTTGCATGTTGACAGTTAAATGTAAAATAGCTAAATGTAAAAAAGGTAAAAAAAAAAAAAAAAAACCTGTTTAGGTAGACTCATAATAAAAGAAGAGAAACCATATAATAAATTAACCTGAAGTTTAGTAATTATAAAAAAAGTCATAAAATAAAATCACAAAATAAAGTAACATAAAGATAAATTTTGTAGAAAAAGATTTTTTATATACTACAATTACAAAATAATCAGACGGGAATTAAATTCTCGGATAGGAATGATGTGCGATCGATTGCTATTGATGACTGGCAAATGATTTTTTTGTTTACAACTTGACCAAGACTGTTTATATGTTTAGATGATTAAAATATTTCAGAATTTTTTTTTTTTTTTTTTTAAAGAAAAAATAAATAAAGCAGTTAAATCATAGTCATAATATAAGATAGTCTGGCCAGTTGGGCCGTTTTCGCAATATTCTATTATTTTTAAACAATAAAAGTTAAAACTTTGAATTTATGTTGAAAATCGTTTAATTATCATGCCCAGACTACCAATTAGTCCACAAAAATCTAAAAAAGGGCGAACTCAACAGAAAAACAGTGCTTTGATTATTTCATATTAGATCTAGAATCAGATATATTTTTTTGTAAACTCAAGTTTATCAATAATTTCAGTTCTTTTCTTGTTAAAATTGGGAGTAAAAACGCTTAAACCAAATTCATTTTTACCAGTGTATGATAAAAAGTCGGAGCATAATTTCAAACGCTACATAACAAAGCAACATTCAAATAGTTTCTCTTGAACTTAGCAAATTAAAACACAAACTGATATTCACATCATCACTGAGCGTGATGATGTCATACTCACCTAATGTCAAATAGCCTGCTGCCGGGGGCTTCAGTACATACATCGACTGACAAATAGCCTGACTCGCAGTGGAGAGCTGCTACATCGACTGAGGGTTTGCAACCTTTTCATTCATTATTCTTTGTTTTCCCTCATCGTTTTCTAAAAACGCTTACTTAATTTAGGCTAGCAAAAAAAGTGAGCAATGGCGCATATAAATATACTATAGTAGATACTATATATATATATATATATATATATATATATATATATATATATATATATATATATATATATATACACATATATATATATATACACACATATATATATATATATATATATATATATATATATATATATATATATATGTGTATACATGTGTATATATGTGTATATATATATATATATATATATATATATATATACACATATATATATATAAAATATATATATATATATATATATATATATGTGCATTTATATATATATATATTTTTTTATTTTAATTCACCCCCTCAAGGCCGAGAAGGCCACTACAGACGAGGAGGCTACTTATTTGTGACTATAACCCTCCCTCAACTCTATAACTCCGAAACACGAACCTTGACGAACAAGGCCGCTGCGCGGAGAAGCGAGTTGAGCGCGGTACTACCAGGGACATGGTGGGGATCGAACTCGGAACCACTCGTTTATGAAGCGAGCGCTCTACCACTACACCACTACCGCTTGTGAGCGCTCTACCACTACACCACTACCACTACCCCTATATATAGCACTATATACATAGCACAGGCCTTGTTAAGAAGCGTTACGCAGCTCGCATTTTGCCTGCGAAAAGGCGATTTGCCTACGCGTTCAGCAGTTATGCGTTACGCAAAAACTTTTATCTTTTAGAATATAAAATTTTTTTTTTTATCTTTTTATATCGTTTATGTGACGTTCATTCAAAAGTATTAAAGTCGTAAGTAAAAGCATTTAACCGCAATTGTAAACTAATAGATTTTTTGTTAAAGAAACAATTTGTTTAATATTTTTTTTTTTTTTTTTTTAAATTACTTAAAGAAAATAAAGTGTTTTAAGTTTAAACTTTTCATCATATTTAATTTTAAATATTAGATTTCATAAGTTTATAAACAATCAAATTTTAAAAAAGAAATATTTTCAATTTATTTTATTAAATTTAAATATTTTTTTAATAATTATAGTTTTTAGTAAATAAATTTATTAAATTTAATTAAAATTCTTTCATTTAATTTTAAAACAGAGCATTTTAAAATTTTTTAATTTTAAAATGCTCCATTTTTTCATGATAAAATTACCAAAGTTAAAAAAGATTTCATAAATTTAATTCAAGTTACTTTAAAATGTTCGTATTACATATACCTTTATTTTAATTTTAGTTAAGTTTCAGGTAAGTTCCAAATACTGATCTAAATAATGCGCTTAACAAAAGTGCATTATTTTCCAGTTTTTATTTTTCCATTATTTTACAGTTTCATTCATTATTTACAGAAGCGCATTATTCATTTTATAACTACAAGTTAATAAATGACATCAATACTTTTAAACTCGAGTTATAAATGTTAAGTTTGGGTTTTCCCTTTGCCGTTGCCGAAGAATTTTTTTTTATAAAACAAACCAAGGACGTATTAATAATACGTCGAACAAACCAAAATTCAAACCTATTAAAAATAACGCGATCAGTAAATAAACTCTTTAAAAGCCCAACTTATCTTTATTTTATTTTAAAAACAAAACTAGTACTTGAGCTATAAATATAAGATACATAAATTTCAAATTATAATGATATTTGTTAAAAACAAATTCTGCTTATCACATCTTAAAACCGAAAACACTATTTTTTTTTTGGATTGAGTAAAAAAATATTAGGTTTCACTGTACATAAAAATAAAATATTTTAATGGAAATAAAAAAAAAACAAAGCCGAAAAAGCAGTAAATTTCGTTTCTTTACAATATTTATTTTATCAAAACCAGTTAGTGAAAACGTTGTTTTTAAAAGGAGAAAACCCAATCTATGCGTTTAGTAACTAAACTTTAGTTATAAGTACATTTAAATCCCTTTAAGAAAATCAACCATAAACAAGTGCTAAATTTAAATTATTTAAAAAAAAAAATATTAAAAAAAAAACAACCATAAAACGAATGTTTAAAAGCAAAAAAATTAAGTTTAAATAAGTATAAGATTTTAATACAAGAAGACTTTTTTTTAATCAACATTGAAATTTTTTTTGTTTATAACAACATTGTTCAATTTAAAGCTATTTCGTTTCAAAGACTAACAATAGTTTTTAATGTCATTTTAAATTTAATTACAATGAAGTAAAAACGCAACTGACGTAAATTAACTTTTAACAATGTAAATATCTTTAATGAGTAAAGTTACATTTATTCACGTTTCGCTTTTCCGTTTCGCAGCGAAATCTCATAACAAGGCCTGATAGCACCACTACCGCTTGTGAGCGAGCACTCTACCACTACACCACTACCACTATATATATATTTATATATATATAAATATATATATATATATTTATATACATATATATATATATATATATATATATATATATATATATACATATATATATATATATATATATAAAATATATATATATGTGCATTTATATATATATGTGTATATATATATATATATATTACATATATTACGTATATATATATATATATATATATATATATATATATAAAATATATATATATGTGCATTTATATATATATGTGTATATATATATATATATATTACATATATTACATATATATATATATATATATATATATATATATATATATATATATATATATATATATATATATATATATATATATATATATATATATATATATATATATATATATATCTACTATAGCATATTTATATGCGCAATTGCTCACTTTTTTTGCTAGCCTAATTTAAGTGAGCGTTTTTAGAAAACGATGAGGGAAAACGAAGAATAATGAATGAAAAGGTTGCTGACCCATACCAAACCCTCAGTCGATGTAGCAGCACTCCACGGCGAGTCAGGCTATTTGTCAGTCGATGTATGTACTGAAGCCCCCGGCAGCAGGCTATTTGACATTAGGTGAATATGACATTATCATGCTCACCTAACTCAGCAGTATAAGATATATACACACACATATATATATTTGTGCTTTGCATAAACCATTAAATTTTGTGATATTCTTGCATTGAAGATTTTTATCTTTAATTATATACCAAATAATGTTTTTATTAGTTTTGTAAAATAACCACAAAATAGCTTTGATATTATTTTATAATGAAATAAGGTTAGACACAACTGTATTAAGCATTGATCTTTTTTAATGTAAATATTTAAATATTGACTTTGGTCTTCTTCAGAAGAAAAGTTGATCTCTTTGAGTTGAGCTATAGTAATATGAGAAACTACTATATTCTGCCTAAAGAAGGATTTGCCAATGAAAAGCTCTTAACTGGTTAATTTATTGAAGGTAGTAAACCTTTCAATCCAACAAAAAAGTTATCTGATATCATATTTTATCATTAGTTATAATATATTATAACTAAAGATATATTTCTTCTTAATGCGCATTTGTTTAAAAAAAGTGTGTCACTCATTGATAGACTAGGTTCTAAAAAAATATATATTATGACAATGGTTAAATCATGGCCATGATGATGAAAAAATTTTTTTTTTTTTCAAGTTTAAAAAAAAAAGTTTAAAATAAACACATTATGTGTAAATTAAATGTTATTCTTATTTTATTTTTTTATTAGGTATGTATTTTTTATGATAAATTTAAACAATTGAAAGTATTTTTCCAT